TTTATGCTATCTATGCATCATGCTAGACAGTATGCACCGGATCGTGAATACCCCTAGTGTTTTCATATTTTTAGATGCATACATATGAATACAAAATTTGCATTTTCTTTTCTCTTTGCATTCGTTTTAGTTAGCACTTTGGATGAAGAGGCATAATTAAACGTCCGTAAAATTGCACAAAACTGGAAATTGCATTTAATTTACTTAGAAAATGCCTAGGAATGTTTCACACTCCATACCAAGAAAATCCGTTCCTTCTCCCTCATGCGAATCGTAAAAATTTGTATATTTCATGGGGGAGCGAAAAAACAAACGGCAATAACACAAAATTTGCTTTATTTCACTTTTAAAAGGGAAATAATACCAAAATCTGAGTTTTGCTTTATTGGTTGGAAATAAAACAAATGTTGCCTTATTTCCCCATTCCTTTTTTATACTATTTGTAAACAGTTTACTAACAGAAGCATGATTCAATAATAGAAAGGTTTTGTAATAAAACAGTATTCTCGCTCCCACACATAAAATCGGCTCCTTTACTTGTGCAGAATGTTGCTTACTCTACAGGTTCTAGAGATATTAGTAGTAAAACCAAAAATTCGTCATACTAAATATTCGTTGGCATCACCTTCGTGTGCGTAATTTTCTAGAAGAAGTGTAGAATAGTGACCGTTTAGCTATAAAATAACCAAAAATGCCGATAGATAGAACTTTTTACGCTGATTACAACGATACCAAATTTATTTGGCTCAGGCAAAAAATAATGAAGATATAAGAGGTTTATTTGTATTTTTTTATTATCACTGAATTGTTGAAACCCAAAAGTACATCATAATAAAATATGTAATAACGAATTAAAGATAATAACTTGTACTTTCTAAATAATATAAATTTCTTTACCATTAATTATGCAATTTTTTTTCAAAAAAAAAAAATCATGAAAAAATAACATTTGTTCGTTTTTTAGTGGTTTTGGTTTAAAAATACAAGAAGCTATAAATTATGTACACCAGCTGAAAGACAAATTAATTATCTTTATGGTCCTTTCGTTATATTTACGTATGGTTCGTAAAATCTTTCGTTCTTTCGTTGTGAAAAATGTGTTCGTATTGGGCGCGTTTCTAAGACGTAGCTGTTGCTAAACTGTTGAGTGTTTGTTTCAGAAACGCACAGCTGAGTAGTTCCACTCAGCTCAACGGTTGGCAACTTTACGCCATTTTTTCCATCATCATTCATTATTTCGCTACATGAAGTCAACAATTTATATAAGTCAAAAATGATGTTTGCCTTCCGTCCGTTTTCATAGAAAATTCAAATAAAAAATAATTTGTAAATTGCTGGCGAAACTGGCTGTTAATTAAATAAAATACACGTACAAATACATATATTAAAAATAAAATAAGAAAAACTCCATTATAAATCCTGTGCTATCCATATTTTTGGCTTAATATTTTTTTATTTTCGTGCTGTTTTATTTAATTTTGCTTGTTTACAAATGTTTTGGCAGTTTATGTATCATAACGTTTCTAAGACGTAACTGTTGAACTCAACAGTTGACAGCCTTTCAGCAACAGTTGAGGTAAACAGTTGCGTCTTAGAAACGCGCCCATTATGAACGAAAGTTTCGTACATTGTACGAAAACCAACACTACGAAAGATTTTCGTAGCACTTTTACGAAATTTTATTTTCAGTGTATTGTTGCAACTATATCAGTGCTCAATCTGATCCTCAAGTCAGTCCTACATGTTTTTAAACTACTAAACATACGTCCTGCTGAAGCATTAGAAAAGGGCTATATTGGTAATGTAGATAAAAATTTTTTTAATTGGGAAATTTATATGAACTTGAAGAATCTTTTAATGCAAAAACTTTTTTCCTACATTTTTCTGGATCTAATGAAGAATCAATATAAATATCCTTATGATCGAACAATACGTGTTCTCTCCATTCGTCACCGAGATTTTGCAAGTTCAAAATAAGTTGAAAATATAACGATGGAATGAAAAAAAATATCGATAACAATTTGAATATTTAGCAGCAAATGCAGATGTGCTTAAGAGCGAAAAATACCACACAAGCGGCTTGACAAACCAAGCGAAATATGCCTTTGGTTAAAGCTATTAATGTTGTTTATGAGGGTGTTTGAAGGTTTGACAAGCCGTTTGAGGGAAATGTGAACAAAAATCAAAATATTTTTATTTTCTGGCCGCCATGTTGACGTTAGATTAAACCCCTTACGTTTTATAAAATCACCTCATTCGCAACGGAATTTTTACCGAATGAGTACGCAAGAGAGAAAAATCGAAGAAAACCAAACCCTTTTACATTGTGAACCGTAAGAAAACTAAAATTCTTTGCTTGAACGAGTCATGTTTGCATGGTTTATGGCGAAATGGGAAAAGTAGGTTTGAAGAATGTTTGACAAGCTTCTTGTGTGGCGTATTTCGCTCTTTATAAAACTTCGGAAAGCTTTTTGTTAAAAAATTTGCAGAGTGATTTAAGAACTGTGTTATATAAAACATGGTTGCATTTGTTATCTCACGTTTTGAGGAATTACTCATAAAGTGGCAACGCTGATTGTAATCGGCTTCGTATATTTTCGCGACCGCGTAAGACAATACGAGCATGGGTCGGAACTCGGCCTTTCCGATCATGATCGGCAGCCTGTCCACAGCGCGGAGCGGAAACTAGATCTTTCCGCCCGCCACACACAAAAGTTGACCGGATACTAGGCCTCACCAGCTACCCAACCTGTTATTTTATATTATTAGTATTATTATTATTATTACAAATTAATATGTATAATTAGTCTACTCTGTAATGTATCACACATACTTAAATATCTAAATGTTTTATTCTCATTTATCTGTAAGAAAACATTTTTCTGTAGACCAAATAAATAAATATATATTGCAAAAACCGCCATTTTTGGACACTTTTTGACCCCGTTTTTTTCAAAATCAGGAGCTGATGGAAACTTTATGCTTACGGTTTCGTTATCAGCACAAAAACAATCTATTAAAAACAGATTTAACATTGACCGTACCAAAAATTTTTTATATTTTTGTTGGGCTGCGTTATCCATTAAAAAAAATGAGCAAAAATTCAGATTTCCGTTTTATTCTACAGAAATGTTTCCTTATGTGGACTATAACACCCTTTGCTCCCCTATTTAGTTATAGTTTTGCAAAATAATTCAATGAATATCATAACGCATGTGCAGTAGACTGCGCCTTATTTTGCAACTTTGACCTACAATGCAAGACTTCTCCCAGAAACACTAAACACTAAAAGAGAAAACTTCCCTACAACTTACCTTTTTATCAGAAATTGTTGCAAAATGCCGAAAACCGTGACAATGCTAAAATTTTTTGCACTCTTTCCTAATTATTACAATAAAAAATGATCCCTGCTGAAAGTCTAGAAAAAAAAAGTCTGATGAGGAGATGTGGTGATCTCCGAAATAGCTGCAATAACTTCTACCGCTTAAGCATTGTTGTTTTTTCCATTTTTCCTAACAAACAAATCGTGGTACAAAGCTCAATAACACTAATGAAATAATTATCGATTTAAAAAGTTTGTATAAAAAAATAGGAAATTAAATTCTGTAGTAATTTGTGTACAACCGTTTTTTACAAAAAATGCAAAATAAGCTTCCAAATCGTAAAAACGGAATGTTCCGGTATGAAATTTAGGGGCGATACTGTGGGTCCATAATCAACGTGTTAAATATAAGTAAACTGCATCAAAAGTTCGCTACTACAAATTTTGTTTCTTCGTACCAATTTGATCTAAATTTATTTGGCTAAAATTTTACTTCGGAATTCCTAGAAAATTTTAATTTTACGTGGACCTCAATAACTTTAAAAGTTGGGGATGTTTAAAAATAGGTTAGCCATATTTAACATCGGTGGGCAAAACTAAAACATATTAAATATCCCTTACCCCTTTGTGAAAAATTGTATGAATTTAAACTTTTTTCGCAGGGCACGTTTTTATGACCAAACCAACGTTTCTCTGGGCAGTCTTGCGTTGTAAATTGACAAGTAAGGCGCAGTCTAATGTGCAGGCATGGGCAGAGAACGAGCACACAATGGGCTAGCTTTTCTCAATATTCATCGCAATCTGGATGTTAATGTTGAATCAGTATTAATAGAATTCTTATCTATATCTCGGTGAAATGCATGTGACTTTTCTTTGAGTTTTGCTACTGAATACTCTAAATAAAACAATGATATTCTTGGTTGCTACGAATGACTTTACATAAACACCCGATATAATATTGTTGAATTTCCTCTAGTCTGCCTAATCAAGATGATGACAATAATTAATTTTTAGTTTCAGACGCTAAAAGGTGAGTTGTATAACATGCAACGAGTTCTCCTAAAAGACATATGAAGAACCTAGTACGAATTTTATATTCCTCGAGCGAAAGTGAAGGTTCGGATCTAGAATTTGGAGACAGCAAAAAATGATAAAATAAAGGCCCAATCAGACTTTTCGATTTGTGGAAAACTAAACTAAACTACGACAAATTGACAAGTCTGGCTCACAATCTTTGGATATTACATTAAAGCACTGTATATGGTAGGTGCAATACTACTTTAGCCGTCATCGATTCGCCACTTCTCGCACGCTATCCTCCTCGATCCCACTTTATAGCCAGCTGGACATCTTAAGTTTACAATTGAATTGTTTTTTTTTTTGCTTTTGTGGCAATACTGTCGTAATACGATCCAAGAAGTGAACAGTTATTTGAAAAAACGTGTGGTCCTTGTGAATGTAATTTCAAATTAATATTTTCGCTATATTTCTTCAAATCAAGTTTAATATTTTATTAAATTCAATCGAAAAATACTTGCTCTTTAAGGTAAATAAAAAATCTTTTAAATAAGTTTATTAAAATTCGGATATGAATACTGTTTCTTAAATGTTCAGTGGGCTGGACATTTGGTAGCTATCATGTCGAAAAAAACGTTTTACGGAAGAAGAGGTGATGGAGATGCTCATGGACAGTGATTTTGAAGGTTTGTCCGACGATGAAGACTTGGAACTCGTTCCTAATTGTTCGAATGTGGCTTCTTCAAGTGATTGCGATTCTAACTACAGTGCAGAATCTGATAATGAAGAAGATAATATTGCTGAACAAGAGTTGGTTGATGCAAATGAAAGCCCCTCAAATCTTCAAAATAAAAAACCGCTTAAATGGCTAGCCAAAGAATTTGTCGTGGGTAATACTCCCGCTGCCGACGAGGCATGGAACGCAGAAGATAGATTTGAGTGGACACCTTTCCAATATTTCTCGGAGTATTTTGACGACGATTTTTGGCGCGAAATTTCACAACAAAGTAATACGTACGCTCCAGAAAACGGCCAAAATTTGTATTCAAACTATAATGAGTACAAGAAACTATCTGGGGCCCACATACTTGCTGGTTGCATGAAACTTCCGCGCGTAAGGATGTACTACCGACCTGCTATTAATGTTCCAGCCATTACACAGATACCAAGGGATCGATTTTTTAAATTAAGAAATTATATGCATTTTGTCGACAATATAAGAGCTACACCACAAGAAAAAGAAAACAACAAATTGTGGAAAGTTGAACCAATAATAAAAGCCGTTTTGTAAAAATTTCAATTGCTACCAAAGCCAGCAAAACTGAGCATCGATGAACAAATGATTCCATTCTCTGGTACCACGCAATTGAAATAATATGTTAAGGGGAAACCCTGTCCTGTTGGTTTGAAAAATTTTGCAACCACGATTTAGGTATCGGAGGAACAGTAGTGCAAAGACTTGCAGAAAATATTAGTAAAGGCAGCGAAATATTTATTGACCGATATTTTACTTCGATAAAACTACTAGAGTTTTTGCTGGAAAATGGAATATATGCTACGGGTACGATTCAACAAAACCGAATCCCCAAAGAACTGCGAACAAAACTTTCAACCGACCATGATCTTCTAAAAAGAGGCAGAGGTACTTTCAATGAATTTGTGAGAGAAGATGAGAAACTAGCGATTGTAAAATGGATGGACAGTCGTTCGGTTCTAATGGCGGCCACGTCGACTGGAGCACCACCACTTATATCTGTTCGTCGATGGGATAAGAAAGCCAAAAATTACATAAATGTCAATTGTCCGAATACGGTAGCAAGTTACAACACGTCAATGGAAGGCGTAGATCTTGCGGACAGGTTGATATCCTATTACCGTATTAACATCAGAACAAAGAAGTGGCCCACACGAGTTTTTTGGCATATGGTTGATCTCGCACTGTGTAATTCCTGGGCTCTTTATAAAAAAGACAAATTTTCCTATGGTGCAAGGAGGTGCGAGTTGATGGACCTATTAGATTTTAAGATGTACGTAGGAGAATGTTTGTCCGCATGTGCTGGTAAAAGAAGGCTAAGTGACATCGAAATCGAAGACGATGTCTCCACAAAAACAGTTAGGTCCATACAGCCCCTACCCCCAAAAGATGTGAGAAGGACTTAAAATAGACACTTACCCATCTGTGGTGTCCAGGATAAAAACAAATTTATGAGATGCCGTAAAGAAGGATGTAACCAAAAAACCAGATTCAAATGCGTTTCTTTCTTGTAATGTGTTTTTGTGCATTGCCAGCGATAGACACTGTTTTATGGAATTCCCTTCGTAAGAAATTAGTACTAAGTTAACCGTTTATTGAAATTAACTGAATGTTTTAAAATACTCTTAATTTAAAAATTAGTTGCTTTTTCGTTGGCATACGATCCAAATGTCCAGCTGGCTGCACCTGCCAGTGCTAAGAATCCTTATATGCTACAATAAAAAAAATGGGTTTTCTAATTATTTGGGAAGAATATAACGCAAAAACATGATTTTTTTTTTAGTTTTTCAATTATTTTAGTCTCGGGACTGAGGAGGCTATGTTTGAGTTGAAAGCAACAACAAAGATAGCTACCACGAATAGCCGATAGCGAGTTTGGTTATACCTCATTGAGTTCGTTCGTTTCGCCACTCGCTAACTGTTGGCGGATCGATGACGACTTGTATTGTTTTAGTAAGTAATTTTTTTTTATTCCTATTGTAACATATATGTACATCGGCGTAGCCAAAATGAAATTTAGGGGGGCAGGGGCTCGATCCTATTAAGTTGGCATTTCAGGGTACTATTTTATATATATATAAGGAAAATTTGAAAGTTAGGGGGGCTCGAGTACCCCCCTGCCCCTACCTGGCTACGCCCATGTATATGTACAACGTGTTAGTAATAAATATAATGATTTCAGTTGATTATAATGTTTTAGTATTAATCCACAGCGCACCCAAACACATCATCAGAACTGCGGAATACGAAGGGTTTTCCGATTTTCTTGGAATAGGTTCATAGCCAGGGGCGATTGAAACGCAAAGCACACCTTCTAGGGCTTTCTCCTCCTAAAGGATGACAAATCTACGCTCCTATCAGAAGTCTCAATTTAATTCCTACAAACATATACCTACAAACAGACCAACATATACAAACAAAATCCCCGACTTGATTGATTTCTATACGGCTAAAGGCAAACCCACAAAATGGACAGGAATTCCTTCCGATCTACCACATGACGCCACAAGAAAACTTTCTCTCTCTTTCAGTGCTTAGAAACATTTACATCCTAAACAATTTACTGAACAAATTTCCTAAAACGTAATCACAAAAAATCCATTGGGGAAGAGCTTCTTACCAGCGCGCTTTCTTTCAAATGAAAAAATGGATGTCAAACTACCAAACGTCAAGCAATAAGCGCTGATATGTATTGCAGCCCATGAGCAATAAGCGGTCTCCATTTGAAATATATTTTAGTTCCAAGTAACTTCGTGTAAAAACCTGTAAAACTGTCAAATAACAAAATTACTCTCTTGAAAGAGAGGAGCGAGAGCGAAACACTTTTCCTGTAACTTCTTCCAATTTTTTCTAATTTAAAGCGCCATGAAGGCGATCAAATATCTTGGCAAAAAACAAGCTCACCTGCCTTCTGATCGTCGTAGCAAAGAACGTAAATCTATAAGAAGAGACAACACGTTATAATTGTAGCGAGTGTGAACATCAGGAGCGCGCCTTCTCTTTTGCTCAAATACGTTTTTAAACTGGATGAAAAGAGAAGGCACGCTCCTGATGTTCACACTCGCTACAATTATAACGTTTTGTCTCTTCTTATAGATTTACGTTCTTTGGTTGTGGTGAGCAAGTGCGCGGACAAGAAAAAGAAATTGTTTTACGTTTGATTGAGCATTACCAATGCCTACCAGCTTTATGAAATGTACCTCACTCACACATACGCAATGCTTGACGTATTTATTTCATTGGCTCCGCGGCGCTTAAGGTTCTTTGGTTTCTGTTTTTGCAGGAACTTGCAGGAAGAAAAACTTCGGACTAAAAGTATAAACAGAATCAAATCGCTGGGAGAATTTCGCCGGTAGAAAGTTAGCTGTCAAAGTTAAAACACACCGCAGTATATGAGATTGCACACAACCAAAACGACGACGAAGTTCGTCTGACGAATTCGGCGAGAATAGATTTATTTTTAATTATGCCGCTGTCGCCCGTCACAAAATCAGCTCTCAGTAGAAAAGTAGCTTTGTCTCTCAACTTTTTTAGCAGATAACCATCTGCAAGAATCAGATTGGCAAAATTTTATGATTCATTTTTGCGTTTTTGTTTTTTTATATTCTTTATTTGTCATTCGACTGATGCAAATTCCGTTTCTATTCTGTTTTACTGAGCGAAATGTTGCGGCGAATATCACCCGACGGCATCGCTCCGTCCGACAAAATTCGCAGAGCGATTTGGTTCTGTTTAGGCTTAAAACCTGCAACTTCTGAATCAGAGATAGTGCAAGTTACTCTCACAAAAGTGGCCCGGGCCTCCCCCTAACTTCCAAAATTTTTGCTTAGATATTCAAAAATTGTACCACGAAACGCTTGCTCGATAATAAAAAAATAAAAGTTATATATCTAACTTATTTACGATTTGTCTGCTTTTTAAAATATATACTGGCTATGTAAGAAGAATCATGTTTGCATAAATTGGTCTTCCTAGGTGGTGCCAAGGTCGAGATATTTCGAAAAACCGTATTTATGGTCCGATTTGGTTCGAATTTGGCGCATGTGGTTGAAACATAATGGGTCTGGTGGTAAACGAGGACAAGACGAAGTATCTCCTGTCATCAAACAAACAATCAGCACATTCGCGCCTTTGCACCCACGTCACTTTTGACAGTTATAATTTCGAGAAAGTAGAGAATTTCGTTTACTTGAGAACCAGCATTAACACCGATAATAATGTCAGCATGGAAATCCAACGCAGAATCGCTCTTGCCAACAAGCGGAAGATTTACGGGCCCTTACGCGTTGGCGACAGCGAGTACCGCAGACGATGGAACGATGAGCTGTATGAGCTATACAATGACATGGACATACTGCACCGAATTAAAATACAGCGGCTCAACTGGCTTCACCATGTCGTCCGGACACCGACGCTCCAGCTCTGAAAGTATTCTGGCTTCACTTGGCATTTCCAATTGGCGTCAGTTGGCCAAAATAAGAAGAAGAAGAGAATAGATCTATAACCTTATCAGGCACACAGTGTTATAATATCGACGAAATCCTTGACGGTGGTACCGGGAGGGAAACGGTACATGACGGTGGGAAGTTTAGTTTGGGTTAAAGTCGCACACTGACGGGGTTAGGCTTTCGATGCTTCCTTCTTGTAAAATAAACATGCTCATTAAAAAGTAAACAATTTAAATCGACGAATAGTTTTATATCAACTTTTGTGAACTTCTGTGTTTTTGTACAACATATTTACCTCTATTGGTTACAATAATTTTAAGCTATAATAAACAATTTTTTAGTAAGTTATTGGTTTTGATTTTTTTTTATCGATAACAAAATCGATAGTAACATCTAATAAAATATCCAACAAAACCGATAAAAATATCGATAACAGAATCGATGAGACATTCAATAAAAATTTCGATAGCAAAATCGATAATAATATTGGTAGCAAAAATTATTTGAAACTCGATAAGAATATCGATAAAAATATCCACAACAAAATAGATCAAAATATCCATAACAAAATCGATAAACATGGATAACTAAATCGATAACAAAATCGATAGTTATTGGTAACAAAAACGATAAATATCGATAACAAAATCGATAACAAAATCGGTAAAAATGTCGATAAAATATTAAAAAAAAATAATCATAACAAAATCGATAACAAAATCGATAATAATATCCAAAACAAAATCGATAAGTATCGATAACAAAATCGATAAATATCGAAAACAAAATCGAAAAATATCGATAACAAAATCGACAAATATCGATAACAAAATCGATAAATATCGATAACAAAATCGATAAATATCTATATTTTATCGATAAGTCCCGAGAATCCCGAAAATCTGTAAAATATTTTTTAACCTTTTATTAGCAAATTTTTGTTAAATTGATACCATATGCGTACCCACGAGAAGCACTTGTTTCAGCCCCCACCATTTCTGTTGCACCATTTCGGTTGCATCATTTCCGTTGCACCATTTTCGTGTGCAATTTCCTTTGAATTTGCTAATTTACTCCCAACCAACCAAC